GTGTGTGTGTGTGTGTGTGTGTGTATATTCAAGTTTAACATAGTGGTTTTTTTGGAGTAGTATATAAGAAACTTTTCGGTGTTTTCAAGGGTCCAAGGTTCGCGTATCTTTACCACAAAAATAAAAAAATCGACCAAAACACAATTTGGTTGCTGAGGGTGTGTTATAAAAGTGACAGTTGATTACAGTAGCCCAACAGTTGGTAGTGGTCGCAGTTTTCTAGCTGTATCGATCTATAGTTACAGGCCCGACATGGCCAGGTGGGTAGGGCGCTTGACTCGCAATCTGAGGATCACGGGTTCGAATCCCTGTTCCATCAAACATGTTCGCACTTTCAGCCGTTGAGGCGTTATAATGTGTTATAAAGAGCAGCCCAAGACTTGGCGGTGGGTGGTGATACTAGCTGTCTTCCCTCTAGTCTTTCACTGCTAAATTAGGGACAGCTAGCGCAGATAGCCCTGTAGCTTTACGCGAAATTCAAATCAAACAAACAAAAACTATATTTACATTGATCACAATCCAACCTGATTTGTTAGGGCTCTCACCTTTTAGCTATAGGTTCACTATAATAATCCTACTGTTTGTTGGTAAAGAGTAGCCCAAGATTTAGTTGCAGGTGCTGCTAGCCGGTTGCTTTCCTTGTGATCGCTAGTTCAAGATTAGGGACGGCAGCTGATAGCATTAGAAGCTTTGTCATAAACAGACATGTATGATGATGATCATATTTTGAAAATACCTTTTCATCATACACTGGAAAACTGGTTCAATCTTGTCGTGGTTGGTATTCGGTCGTGTTGTGCGCGACCTGGGAGGGTCAGGTACTATTTAGATCCCTTCCTCCCTCCTTCACGGTTTTGGATGTTTACTTTCAAATGCTATATTAATATTAAAAGATTACGGCACATATATGTACTCCAATTCTTCTTCTCTCTTTTCAGGACCATGTCTATAAATATTGTACTATAGCATTTAGTGTTGAGTTGTCACTTCTTTTCATTTGGTCATTATACTCTCGCAAACAGTTTCATTGACAAATTATCACTTTTTCACCTGATCACAATATCGAATGCATATTTGACATAAAATACCCGTATTAAATATACTTTTGACAATCTAATCTAAGCGATATATTTATTGTCTATTGTAGGTGGACTTTTCCTTGTAATACGTATTCGGTGGTGAGAGATACTTAGGACTATCATCATCATATAGAAAACTGCTTCTCAAGTATTCAACCTCTCAAGTTGGATATACCATCTAAATGTTATAACAATATTTTGCTTTAGTGTCTATTTTTTAGATACTTGAAATTCAAGCAATGTTAAAAACGCTGTAATATATATATATATATATATATATAATAAAGACCCAATAATCTGTCTGTCTGTCCGTTATCTAACCACCTCCTAGGTCGCTGGACCAGTCTCAAACACACTTTGTGGCATGATAGTTTGGAACAAGAGGAATGTTAATGAAGGTTCACAACCACCTCCACCCCCATTATTGCGGTTATTGAGCACTTATTATCTTTCACATAAGTTAATGTTAACTACATTCATAGATAGCGCCATCCTTAAGGGGAAAAAACTTTATTAAATTTTCTATTATACAACATACACATAGTATGAGGGGAGGGCGCACAAACGTCTTATACATTTATATCTCAGAGAGGGTGCTAGCACTCTATATGCAGGAATGCAATATAAAACAAAATGGCCGCCGCTATTGCAATACCACATAAACTAAGATGAAGTTTCTTCTTCGACAGCCACCATAAGGCTGTTATGAAGAGGCGTTTCCTGAGTTATACCCACTTCCTACTTTGACCTGTGGTTGGTTGGTACAGCACAGATAGTCCATTGTTACAAAAAACACATTATTTGATAAATGTGATTTGTAGTGTGATTATTTTGTATTCTTTGATGCCTCGTTTCTTTTTCGAAAAGTTTAGTTCGTATTTTTAATGAATGAGTTTGTTTTGAGATATTGTTAAAGAGTGTTTTGCATGTGTAATAATGTTTAAATGATGCCATTGTTAAAAGGTTTTATTTGTAATGTTTATTATACAATTGGATCTTTGTTCAAGAGTTGTCACCTGTACTGCCTTGTAAATGCTTTATACGGTTGAGAGAAGGTTACAACAACTTGTTGACCAATATCCAGGTAAATTTGATTTGGTTTTAGACCTCAAAATTAAGGGACGGCTGGGACAGTCTGAAAAGGAAGTGGGGCGAGAAAAGTAAGGTATGGAGACATGCTACGTATTTTGTATCTCCATCTAATACAATGGTCAAGAAAGTCTTGTTCTTTTCACTTTAACTACCTACTGTTCTATGTTATTCACCAAAGATATTATCTTTTCTTCCTATGGTTTCTGCAAGGATAATCATATGCCATATGTAAGTAGACAGCAAACCTTTCCATTGGCTCCAACTTCCCTCATTTTCTAATGGGAATGACCAACAGTCATACGAGTAGTGCAAGTCCTCCTGGGAAAGTTTTAGACATATAACGTGGTGTTTTCTCTGTCTAGAACAAGATATAAGCAACTTAACCTACATAGACATCTTAGTTTGTTTTTCAAGTGATACACACCAGGTAAAGGCGACTGTCTGTCGTACTGTTGTTTATGATATTGAATAAAGATCGTTTCTACTGTGTATTTGACATTTCTGTCCAGCCTCTTTGTTTTACAGAATCAGTCGGGTTCAAAGATTTCAGCATCAATTCGTAGTAGGTGGAAGAAGCATTTTTTGATTGGCCAGACAACTAAGAATAGTGTGCTTTCGCTTGCAAAGCATGCATGTGCTAGGGGGTAATGGGGGCATGCCCCCAGGAAAATGTTGAGAAATAGGTGCTCTGAGATTGAATTTTGTTCTAATTTTCTATAATTTGTTTAAAATAATAATTAATTGCAAGCGCTTCTTTATGATTCACAAAAATAGGTGGTCACTGGCACTTATACTCACCATAGCTATAAACAAGTATAAGCATGTATACTTGCAAATTGTACATGTATTTTATTATGCATTGTTATACTGATTCATACATACTAATATAAGTCTATATATTTATCTAGAAACAATTTTTGAAGTGTAAGTTAAAGCTTAATAAGCCCTACAGTTACTGTGACAAAATGTTGGTCCGACTATTGCCCGGTCTACCGGACCTGCTCCGCGCACGTGAATAATATCTTGGTTGAATATTCTGTTATTCTGCAAACCTATCTTATTCTTTCTTGAAGTTTTACCTGAGAATACCAGAACAATGTGTATCTGGATACAAATTATACTATAACATTGATGCAGATAATAAAGCAATTATAACGATGTAGATTAGAATGCTAATCATACTTTTACTTGCATCAAACATGCGTTCAATTACAGATCATACTATAAACACATTTAATAACGTGTACCTGGACTAGCAACTTAATATTAAATTATAAAAATGCTATAACCCGAGCGCTTTCGAAAGGTGGATATTTCTTCCTCAGGGGCAAGCTTGTAACTTAAGTCATAATATGGCACATAGTAACTATGCCGATATGTATCAGTGTACAAATCATAGTCAAATTATAACAAATGTTAACTTTTAATAATTAAATTGAAGCACATACTTTTTTGCAAGTTAATTTATTACAATTTTATGTTTCATTTGTAGCAACATATTTCCAAATTGATTCGGCAATCGAAAAGCAATATTAATGTGAAAAATACAGAGCACGTAAATATCTCAAAGTAAAAACGTAAAATTCTGTTTCCGCGTCTTCTTTCATTTAATGTTTCAAGACAACAACGTAATATCTGAACATCGTCAAATCTCAACTAACTTTTGTCATTCTATTCGTGAATAACACCATCATGACACTACTCAGAAATCTACCACTAGGAAGCGCTATTTCTGTTACAGTTCAACTGGCACGATTTCGCACGAATTGATTCCGCATTTTTCCAACTATCTTATCTTCACAACGTTTTCTGGGCTCCTTGCCCTGTAGTAGTATTAATAACCAATCAATATTTCAGGAATCTCACCACGAGCAGCATCAAGATGAAACTTGTACGGATTACAAGAAAACTAATAATATTCTCCTGTGCATTTTTGGCAATTCTGATTTGTTTCAACGAGGCTTCAAAAGAGGTGAGTATTTTAATATTTTTCTTTTTAATCAGAAACCTAAACCTACTCTACTAGTTTTAGTAACTGGAATATGTTTTTCTTTGGTACGAAACCTTCAGTAACTCATTGGCTCACCATTTTATAGACCAGTATATCAAAAAACATTTTACAGAAATGACAACTATTCACGTGTAATTTGTAAAATATTTTGTGCCATCAAAGCAAAAGGTATTATTTGATCTCTTCTGAAATCTTAGGTCTCATTTCATGAATTTTTAATTATAATATGTAGCGTTTTTAAAATATATATGTTTTAGAATAATCTGAAAACTATTTCTGAACAAAACAAACGTTAAAGGTATTTCTTAACAAAATATGAAATTTTAAATTTTATTTGTTTCTGATTTTTCAAATCTACAGTTCTCGTGAAAGGGACTTTATTTTTCATCTTTTATCGTGAAACCATCAGAGTTCAATTGAAATCTCCAAAAGTTTACAAATTTCATTCTCATGATCACGAAACACTCCCGTGTAAGTTTGAAACGTGTACTAGAACAATGCGAAACGCATCTCACGAAACTTTGGTAGCAGAGTTGTGATTTTGAAAGCAAATCAATGTAGTGATTAAAATGTGTTATCGAGATAATAATTGTTATATGCCATTTGTACGGCTAAATTTTTGCATTTAAAAAAGTCGCAGTTTTCTTTTCATTTAAAACAAATATATAGAAGAAGAATATTATATACAAGATGATATAAATATGTAAATGTGCAAGCAATAATGTTCTTTAATATTCAGAAAAATACAGTAAACCAAACTGAATCTTGACAGACCCTTGTTTAGACTAACTTCGGGCACAAAGGTTGTAAAAACTGCACGTCAATAAATATATTTATCTGAACGAATATGTTTTATTTTAGGTGGAACTTGTTTTTATGTATTTCAAACTTTACCATAGCTATACTTTAATTGGAAAGCAAAAGTTAAAATTACTCATTGACCGAGTTACAATTTGTACACGGTTTCATCAGAACGAGTACTCCCTCTCCCACCAGCATTGGCTTGCGTTATTGAACAAGAAAGGACGAAATCGAAATGTTTCGCATCGCTGTAATTATAACACATATCATATCAGGCAGATAAAACACAGATAGAATCATTAGCCCACGCAGTCTCTAGAAACGTTTTAGTGAGCTTGAGAAAATAAATCCTCTGATATATTTTCAATTCTTTCCACTTCAGATATACACTGTTAATCAATAAATGTCTAGTATAAAGTAGAATAACAGTAAAACTGAAAACAGAATTTTCATGCCTGCCAAATAAAACCGTAAAACTAACAATAAAAGATTCTCTGTTCCAGCTTACGCCAGCAGTAAGACTGAAATTGAAAACTTCCACAGTCGTAAAATATATCTTCCGTTTTACGATGATTTATGAATAATATGTAAACTTGAAGTATCATTGTGTATGCGTAAGCGTAAGTACGTGTATGCTATCCAAGTACTTGGTATAGCAATAAATACATATGCACTTACGGTTATAGCAAGTGTTTTCTTATCATAGTTTAACTGTTTACCTTGTGCTTACCCATCTTGCATTTATTTCTGTACCATATGCTTAAGACTTCTGTTTCACGGGGTTTATTTTTTATAAAATCGATTTTAAGGTATCTAAATATAACTATAAAACATCGAAAAACAAACATCGATTTTATAAAAAAAAATAAACATCAAAAAACAGAAGTCTTAAGCATATAGTATAGAAATGTGTTGTGCAAAGCCACATCGGGCTGTCTGCTGTGTCCACCGAGGGGAATCAAACCCCTGATTTAAGCGTTGTAAATCCGGAGACTTACTGCTGCCCCAGCGGGGGACAGTATAGAATTAAATGCATGATATGTAAGCACAAGGTAAACAGTAAAGCTATGGTACCAAAACTTTTGCTATAACTGTAAATGGACGTAATTTTAGCACACTGTATAACAGTAGATGCTCGGTATTTAAACATATGTTATAACAGTAAACCAATGAATTTAACCACGTGGTATAACAGTAAGTAATAACGTTTAACAACGTGGTATAGCAATAAATCATGGTTTTTAACCACGTAGTATAACAGTAGATGCTCGGTATTTAAACATATGTTATAACAGTAAACCAATGGATTATAACAGTAAGTAATAACGTTTAACAACGTGGTATAGCAATAAATCATGGTTTTTAACCACGTAGTATAAGAGTAAATGATCGGTTTGTAAGAACATGGTATAACAGTAAGTCATAGTATTTAACCTCGTGGTATAACAGTAAATGTTGAGTGTGTAAGCGCCTGGTGTAACAGTAAATTATGGTATTTAACAACGTAGTAGAACAGGAAATTCTCGGTGTCTAAATACATAATATAAAAACAACTAACTGGTATAGAAGCAAGTAGTATCTTGTGTGTGAGCATATAATATAGCTGTAAATGTATAGTATTTAAGCACTCAGGATAACCGCAGATGTACGACATGTTAAACAGATGGTATAATAATTATTTTATTACAAGTCAGAGCTTTTACAGTAAGGAAGAATATTTTTACAACAGATACGACGTTTCGGTCACTGGTGTGATCATTCTCAAATTTTAACTCAAAACGAAATTGTTAAGATGATATAAGAGTACGTGTACTGCCTGTTGGCGTAATGTATAACAGTAAATATGTACCATGTAAGCACTGATATAAGAGTACGTATACTGCCTGTTGGCGTAATGTATAACAGTAAATATGTACCACGTAAGCACTGTTACGAAAAAAAAATAAATGAAGATATTTAAAAGTACAGATACTAAAATTAGTAATAAACAATATATTTCTAAACCGATGCTTTCCACCTTTTCATACACAATATTCGCTTACCATATTAAACGAAGATTAATCTATAAAATTTTCTCCATTATCAAATATAACAATCAAAATTTTTAATATATCAACTTCTTCAAAACCAAGTTTATCTCTTTTTTTGACAAATTTCTAATTAAACAGCACTTTGAAAGAATCAGTGTCACCAGACATGTAGACAAATTACTTACCAAATGCAGCGTTGATCAGACATTGACGAAATTGAAAATAAATATAATCCAATTTTCTCCGTATGACTTATAAAAGATAAAAATAAAATACGAAGGCGATTTTAAATAATTCAACCGTTATTTTAATCATTTTTAAAGTATTTCATGTCAGAGTTTCAATACATCGCATTTTCATTCTTTACGCAGTGAATAATTTCTCTAAATCAGTCATCTTCAAATCCATTTATTCCTCAGCTTATTATATAAAAAGTTTAATTGAATATTTTCAAAAATCTATACGATCGAACACCACCAAACCTAAGCACGTGATTCATTTCTATCACCGTCATATCTTTTGATAATCTAAAAATCGATGTAGGTTCTTCAATCATGGCTTTATCGTAAACTCTTTGAATTTAAGAGCAGCTGGTTTGGGAGAAAAACGTTGGGATAGAACTTTCTCTGAATTTAAATCCTGGGTAATTGATTTAAGACTCGTTTTTTTTAAAAACTGTTTACGGCACTTTACCAATTTATTTTTGTCTGGCATGCATATTAACTTTGATGTTTTGCTAAATCATTCAACAAAAACAAAACCTGTGCTAATTTAAAAAAGAGGCAAATTTTGTGTTCGTGCTTTTTATTGTGTTTATAAATCATTTCTAACAGAACATTCTTTCCAACACAAGGGGGGTTTATTTGATGTATCACTTTTAATACATTTGTAATACAGATATCAAAAATCGTTAACAGTATAGTAATTATATTAATTATTTCACCTTTACATACAAAATACGCACACATCACAAATAAATAAAGAATACAAAGCCATAACGATAAACACGTAAATTACCTCCAAAATATTTATACAATGTGTTATGAAATGTATGTATGTTATATCTTTCCAGAATGTATGAACTCTAAGACATAAACAGGAAATTTAAAGGCGTTTTGATAATTTCCATCAGTTTTTACATAACTACTACCGAGAGAGAGCATGCAGACTTATATAAATCAGCAAGAGACGTAGACTCGTTGGCTAAACACGTCTTCCTCTTCCTCATTTTTAAAACTCTGATAACATCCTTGGGAGTTGGTCAGCAGTTTAGGTTCCTCAATAGACATGAAAGGGGCCTGCACTAAGCGATTCAGTTTCTTATTTCCGCAAACGTCAACTCCCAATTTAAGGCTTAAGAAAAATCAGCATTAGACATGCAGGATAAGCTTTCAATTCAGAATAAAGTAGATTAATTTTCCCCTCTCCGGTAGAGTTTTAATTTTCTGTGAATGAAAATTGTTACTCACTAATTTAAGCTTGTTCTCTATAGAAAATATTATAATACATTCAAATAGCCATTATGATATATAAATATAAACAAGCTTGAAGTTTTAATGTCAAATAGGTTAGAGAATTATCGGTTAATTAACAGTTAACCCCTCCCCGGGGATCATCAGTGAATCTGGAGGCTTATAACGCTAAGGATCGGGTTTTGATACCTGCGGTTGGCAAAGCACAAACGGTACATTGATTGTATAGCTCTGCGCCCAGCAACAAACAAACAAACACTTTTCCTTTCGTGTATAAATGGCGTTCAAATGTTGCTGTTTTTTTTTGTTTTTTCTCACAATTGGACGCCATATAATGCATTGCAAAGGTTCAGTTTTCGAGCAACAGTTATTCCAGGCTAGAATGGTATAAAAAGGGTCAATAAACTTTTATGCAGGTGATTGTAACACGAATAACTATTGTATTAAACTACAGAGATTCAGGGAACTAGCAGCAATGCTAATTAATTCTTTAACCCTCAAATTACCGATTTGTTTACACACCAGTTCTTTTCCGGTAGAGGCCCGGCATGGCCAGATGGTTAAGGCGCTTGACTTGCAATCTGAGGGTCACGGGTTCGAATCCCCGTCCTGCCAAACATGTTCGCTCTTTCAGCCGTGGGGGCGTTATCATGTGACA